AAGGAATTTTATAAATGTTTCATTCTTGGCTAAAATTTGAGTTAATTTAATATGAAAATAAGATAATCTTTTGTATTATTCATGCATTTGTAGCAATACTATTAGTATATAATTTTTTCAAGAATAGTAACATAAGTAACTCAGTAACTGTGGGGCCAACTGACCCAAATTTTTTGTAACATAAAATGGATTTTAACTTTGGGGAAATTCATAAAATATTAATATTTAAAAGGAGTCAGTTGAAGTTGTGGTTGTTACTTGTCATCACATCTGGAGCAATAGTGCCATCTGCAGCTCTCAGCCTGGTATTGCTGTTAGAGAAGATTGGTTTATGTTGTAATCTACAAATGCAGTGTGAAAAAACTAAAATTCAAATGAAAGATTTATATTGGACCTTCTCATCTTTATTTATTAATTTTAAAATTTGTATAACATTTGATAATATTTTAAGAGAAAACTCTGTAAATGTTATAAAATATGAAATTGTCAAATATAACTTGAAGCAGGAGATCCTAATTTTTCAATTATAACATCAACAGTAACTAATAAAATACTTTTTTAAATTTTTCATCACAAAAGGAAAATGATTTTCTATACTTTGAGTTAGTATTGATTGTTGTGGTCTATAATGACTTGGCTTTCTGATTTTATTATTTTTTATTTTACTATGAAGTATACATCCCTTCTGTTAACATCTGGCAAACAACATATGGAAGTCATTTTATTTACCAATAATGTGTTTATTAAAAAATCATCAGGTGCTAATGGTTATGTTTCCTTCATGTTTACCGTGTAAATGTTTTAAAATATCCTATAATACTAATTCTCCCAGTAACTTTGTTACTTGTCTTTAATTTTACTTCATGGCTAATAAATACAAGATACTATGTGTGTGTTAGGCATTTATGCAGCCCATATAAACAATAACTCATTAAATTACATTTTCCCAATCTTAAAATTGGCTCAAAATTGTTAAATGACAAATTGACTTGAATAACCTAAGAAACTGAATTTAAAACAATGTTATTATGTATATTATTGATGTGTTTTTTTCTACCTCCCAAAATGACAGGGTTATACTCAAGACATACATTTGTGGACACTGACGTTAGAATTTTGAGTAAGAAGCAATTTGAAACATTTTTATGTCTGTTTTCATACAGGATAGAGCTGAGGTATTATAAAGCCGAAAATGTAAATCTCCCGTGAATCTTTCAAATTGTAATTTAAATATCATCCTCTTACAACCAGTAAAATTATTCCCACATTGAAATACAAAAGCTGTGTTGGTGTATTTTGGTATTGTAAGTAAGGCAAACTGGCTTTCTCCTGTCTGCTCTGTCACTTTGTTAGTTCTGAAATGATCTTTAAAGAAGTACAAAGATAGTGTCCTGTTTTTCTGTAATCTTTCTCCTTCTTTCCTTTATAATTTTTCCAATGCTATTTTGTTAAGCATACTGGCTTTGACAAGCCTCTATGATAACACTTTTATTTGTATCAGAAGCTGGTTGTATGTGTAAATTTAAAGCTGCAAACACTGCAAGCTTTAGACATCAAGTACTGTTTGTGAGGTCACCTCTGACATTTAATACTAATGATGTCCTTTGCATTCCAAATAGAGAATATGTTTAGAGAAAAAATTCAAGAGGTCCAACATTTCATTCATATGAGATATCATCCTGAAGTCAGAAATAATGTCTTTTGGTTGGGAATAAGTGACTGTGAAATAATCCTAGTGAAATTAACACCTGTACAAACAAATATTTTCATATTGACATTAAAGCTGGATTACACAGAATAGTACCCATTATGACTTTCCTCTGCTATATTAACATTATTATACATATAATTAATTAAAAATGCTTATATGGGATGTGTTAATATTAATAAATTAGCTGGGCAAATAACTTTCTCTCATTTCATGTGCTTAATTAGTACATTGCATAATTAAAATGTAGAGGAGCTTTCATTGTATAAAGCATGTGGGACTATTTACTCTTACATGGCACACTTGGACAGTGCTTGCTTTTACTATGTGGGAAGATATATTTTTCCAAAGATGGGAGTATTGGCTGTGGAAGCTGCTACTTCCAAGCATTCCATTCTCATGTGATTTCTCACAAGAGAAAATACTGGTTTCAGCTGTCAGGGACACATCTTCATAAAAGCCATCTTTCCTATAAATGGACTGGAGCTTACATAACACCGTATAATTATAAATTGTTATTGATCAAAAGTTGAGACAAAGATTTTGTCAGATAATATTTTTGTTGAATATATGAAACCAAATTTCCTTTAATACTCTTTATATTCATCTATATAGCAACATTTAACCTTTTCAGAATAAAGCTCCTATAAAAGTTAGTTTGCAAAATACTCCACCTTCATATCAAACCAGTTATTACTATTATTAAGTAAATGTGACTATTATCCATGAGCCCTAAATCCCAAAATTTTTAAGTGTCTTAGCTAAGTATACAGTCGCTCCTAATTCAATTGTGTATTCATAACAGCCTAAAATGAATTTAAACAGCAAGGATGTGAGTCATTATGTTACATTTTTTCTGCCCAGCTAGCATGTGAAAAAACTGAAATATAAAAATAAGAAAATACAAAAATACGAAATTACACATGCACAATGGCTATTTATTAAAGCAGTAACTATGAAAGCAAAAGAGTAGAAACAACTAACCATCCATAGGGCATTAGTGGAAAAAACTGTCATTAAACTATAAAATAGAACACTATGTAATTATAAAACAGAATATAGAACTCTCTTAGCTACTATGGAGTGAGATTGAAGAAATATTAAGTGAAAAATGTAATATACATAGCAGTATGTAGTATGCTAATTTTATGTAAGCGTATTTATATTTTCAAAAATAAACAATGGAGGGGTAAACACACACTTAGTAAAAACAATTACCTCTAGATTGAAGTGAGAACTAGGGACAGTCTAGACATCTGAATGTTTTAAATTTTGACCCTAGAATCATGTAAATATTTTTTGCAACTAAAAAATTATTATTAAGCACAAAGCAAAACCTAAAAAATTTTTTCAGTGAACTGAAACAAATAAACCTAATTGTATATCAAATTGATAGCATAATTATGCAGAGAATTATTTTATGACTTTAGAGCATAGTATTTTGGCATTTTAGCAGTGGAATAAATCCTAAAATCAGAGACCATAACGGAAGTTTAAACTGTGGTTATTACACCTTGTTATTAATAGTAATATTTTTCCTGTTCTTTTGAAATTAATACACATATTAAGAAAAACAAATACTTTTGGTCATTTCATTAGGGTCTACAATTTTTACAGTAAGAGAAAAGATAAACAAATATAAAATGAAACACTTTTATAATCCTAAAATCTTTAATTTGGTTGGTAGTATCAGCATGAACTCATGCTAACTAAATACCCCTAGTATGTAGATTTTTGTCTGTAAATATCATTTACCATTATAAAGAGACTGGTTTCTTTGGAGAAATGGCTATTTTCAGCTCTGGGACAGAAACTGTTCAAGATGATCCTAAAACTCTTATTAAGCCATAACTACTGGAGATTATATTGAAAGGATTTAGGAACCAACTTCAAGAGGACCCCACTACCCAAAAATGAAGCTTTTGAAGCATCAAAATAAGAAAATGACTACCATGGACTGCAGTACATTAAATAAACAAATATTCATGAATTCATGAAATTCATCTTTTGTCACCTTTGGACCAAAATTGATAAATAAAGAGAAAGAATCAAACATTTATTGTGACTTTCCTATGTAGGCTGTATTTCACAGTCACTGAATATGCAGTGAGGAAATGTTCTTTATTATAGAAGAATGAGAGCTAATAAATGCAGGAAGAATGATAGAATATCACCATTTTACAACCTCTAATGAAATAATGACTCAAAGCAACAAACAATGTTGCTAATTTACTAAGTGAAAGATTGATGGACAACTTTCTAAGGGGTCAGACTGACTCACCTTGTCCCCACTGATCAATCTTAACCACTAAAAGTAGTAAACGTGCATCCTGATATGATGTAATAGGAATTACACAGCGTCATCTATGATGTATTCTTGACCAAAAGAAATTGAACCTTAATGTAATTAAGCCTTTAGATTTTGCTAGTGGTTTACACAAAACAGGGGAAATAGAGGAACATGTTAAATACATCATGAGGATAAAATCAGCCAGATCCAGAATGTAGAAATTTTACAAGATACGTGATTTAGATCCTTTAATAAATAAGTGGCAATGAAAGGGAAAGACAGTGGACTCAAAGTGATAAAAAGATACTTAAAGTACTTATCAACCCATTGCAATGTGTGGACCTTGTTTGGATCCTATTTCAAACAAACCAACTGTAAAAAGACTTTTTTACAATCAGTGAAAATTAAATATGGACTACGTAATCAAATTAAGGAATTATTGATAATATTTTTAGTTGTGAAAATTATAGTCAAATTATTATTCTTTTTAAGTTGTTATCTGTTGGAGATTCCTACTAAAATATTTAGGGGTAAAATGGTCTGATGCCTGGGATTTACTTTTAAATATTTCAGATCTACCCAAAAAAACTGAGATGTAGATATAGATAGATTAAATAAGAATAACAGAAATTTAATGGTTATAGACGCTGAACATTGGGTACAGGTGGATTCACTGTGCCCTTATTACTTTTATATGTATTTTCATGATAAAATGTTAAAATAAAAGTTTAAGAAAAAGCCTTCCCACCAGATTAGCTGAGATCATTGTAGCAGTGCCTTCTTAGAAGTGTTTTATGTTTTGAGTATGAGTCTTAGTTCATAGAAATGTTATATTTATGGATCTCAGAAACAAAAGAGTTTCTTGTTGTAGCTTATGTCCTTTTATCCAATCAAATTTCATAAGTAGTAAAATTTCTTCATAGAAAGAAAGAACATTACTTAGGTATAGTGTTATTAACAAGCTCAGACCAAAATACCCTGACATTATACCCTCTTTTTCAGACCAAGCCACCCTGGTAGAACAAGTAAAAAGAGTAAAAGAAATTGAAGCTATTGAAAGTGATTCTTTTGTTCAGCAGACATTCAGATCAAGTAAAGAAGTCAAAAAGGTAAGTTTTTATCCACACATTATAAGTAAATCTTTGGATTCTAACTGAAGAGATGCTTTGTTAATGGAAGCATATGTGTTTCTTCTAATAGATGAAGTAGGCCAAGAGAGTGTCAGCCATGTAGCTAAGAGAGAGAAAACAAATGAGAATCACTTAAGTCACTTTAATACAAGTTTAACTTGCATTAAAAAATACTCTAAAATGTGTCTGATGTCATTTTTATTTTTAAATTCACCAAGAAGACAAAGTAATATGTCAACATGATAGTTCTATAACAGTAATACACATTTCCTAACATATATGATATTCTTTTCAAACATATACATCTGCCTTTTGAATTGACATTGCTAGAGAAAAGTTACAAAGGGCTTTAATGATAAAAACTAATATCCATATTATCACATATATCTTCATTCTTTGCCCAGCTGGTTATCACTTATTTGGCTCTGGTAGAGGAGCTTTTGATTGATATTTTATATCCATTGAATATTTCAGATATTCTTTTTTTTTTTCTTGCCCTGAATACCTTCTGCACACAGGTATTCTTTCATTCATTAGTAGGACTGCTTTTAAGAATTAGGTTTCTATAGGAAACCTAACTGAAGTGAGAAAAGGCATTCGAGGAAATACATGTATTCTTTAATAGCATTCATACAACAAAAACATGGTTGAAATTAACACTCTAAAATATTCTACATCCATAAATTGTATTAATGGCTGCATAATACCCTGCTGATACCTCCTGATGGTTATTTTTCCTCTAATTTTAAATAAATAGTTGTAACTTCAGAGATTTTACATACATGTTTATTATCTTCTTAAAATTTTAAGATGAATTGCTTGTTAAAGGTTAACATTGTTTAATACGTGTTTCCAAGTAACCTCCTGAAAATAGTCAACCAATTCAAAGTCCCACCCAAAAGTTCAAGGAGATATCTGCCTCCCACAGATATCTTGGTTAACACCAAATCCTATCAAGTTTGTCATGTTTACTGACCTAATAGGCAAAAATTGGCCTGTTTCCATTAGCACTTAGTCAGATGAAAGTCTTTTCAATTACTATATACTTTTTAAATAATTTATTCAGGAGAGATGTATTGAGCATATGCCAGGCATAGGGCTAGATAGCCCTGGATAATCTGTGGTACTTGCATTGCCATTTTGTTCATTTCCTTTGAACTTTTGGTAGTTTGCCACCACAACTCCTAAAAAAAATGGAGCTGTGAAATGGACATTCATAAGTTGCCCATTTTATTTAATATTATTCTTACATATTATAAGGCTATTCATGTATCCTAATGGAATTACTATACTTCATTTTGAAACTTTTTTTTCTCATATTGGTTTTCTGAAGTTTAACCTGACCTCCCCCTTCTTATTGAATTCTCTTATCATAAACCAGCATTTTCATTCTGTGGAAATGCTTATTCCTCCATAGTCGATACACGCTGGGTTTTAACTAAACAACTTTTTCTTGCTTGGTGTAATAATTGTTAATTTTTCCCCTTAAACTTATTTTCAATTCAGTGCCTCCAAGAAAGTATGCATTGAAAGGTAGGAAGTGGTGCCAACAGGAGAACATGCTAGAAAGCTTCAGAAGGTAGCATTTATCTTGGTGAATGTACAATAGTCCAAAGTCTTACTGGACTTTTATTAGTCACTACACTTCAAAGTGATCAGAAGACCAGTGATAGTCTACCAATGAATAAATTCACACTTGACTGAAATACAAAACAAAGGGACAGTTTATTACTTTATAAAGTGATATCCCTTCCTAGATTCTAAAATATCTGTATCTGCAATATAAGGGAAGGATTCGGGTTGCCCAAGAAGCTGAATTATTTATGAGAAGATTACTTAGCAAAAGGAGGTAAATTATCTTGTGGACTCTTTTATCCAGATCATAGAGAGATATGATGGACTATTCCTCATGCATAGCAAGGATTCACTCTCTTGAGGACTGAATTACCCATGACCCTAGTTTCAACATATTTTTCTCCTGGGCAGTTTTGTACACTGATATAAGTTTGTATCTTTAAAAAACGGCTTTTCTATGCTGGCCGCCCCTTCAGTTGGTACAATCTTTGTTTAGCTGTATTAATTCCACTAATTAAGCTAGGGAGCTTTTACCAGAGAAGTGACTATTACTAGTGACATGCTAGACACTGTGTCTCCTGCAACACATATTGATTTAACTAGTTTAACTCTCTGAAATCATATTTCTCTTGTCTGAGTAAATAGGGAATCTGATAGTCCTTGATATGTCATTAACTTGAGGAACCAAGATGCAGCTTGTTTTCAAATTTAGTATCAGTTATTCAACCCTAATATTGTTGTATCCGGCAGATACCCACCTATGTAGAAAAGATGGGTAAATAACCCTGTGCAGCATGGTCTTTTGGCCCACTTAGAAGGCAATTTTAGAACTAATTTTTACAAAGTAAACCACCAGGTGGCAGCGCAACTCAACGCCAGATGTTTCATAGTGGCCATTTTGAGGTTTTGTTTTACAGTTAAGGGAAAATTTTCTCTTACAGTTTTTCTCACTTAAATAAAGAAGCAGTTAGTGGTTCTCTCTACAAAATTTTTAATTGCCCATTATTAAATAAATAACTTCCGGCAGGGCACGGTGGCTCAAGCCTGTAATCCCAGCACTTTGGGAGACCAAGGCGGGTGGATCATGAGGTTAGGCGATTGAGACCATCCTGGCCAACGTGGTGAAACCCCATCTCTACTAAAACTACAAAAATGTGCTAGACATGGCGGCACGTGCCTGTAATTCCAGCTACTTGGGAGGCTGAAGCAGGAGAATTGCTTGAACCAACCTGGGAGGCAGAGATTGCAATGAGCCAAGATCACGCCACTGCACTCCAGCCTGGAAACAGAACTAGACTCCATCTCAAATAGATAGATAGACAGACAGGCAGACTCATATTCCGATCTAACCTCTGAGAGCTTCACCTTCTATTACGTGTAAGTACCTCTCGAAGAAATCATCAATGTACTATGTAGGTAAAAACAAAATGAGATTGCTTAGTTTATATGGTAGAATCTTATCTCTGCTACCTGCAGAAGTGGTATCCACATCTTTAATTACTAGAATAATAGTACTACACATCTTTTTAAGGCAGTTTAACATGGATAGCATCTTGTAGCTAAGCCCTATCACTCCATGGCTAAGATACACAGAACGATATGCTCTTATAGTCTCCGTAAAGCAGTATAGACTATGAAAAATCAATGTCCTAAACCTCTTGGATTAGCATATTTCCCACTTTCCCCTATGCAGAATATTGGGCCTTTTAAATGTCCTTAGTTGTATAAAGGGTCAATATAACATCCCTTTAAGTCCACAAGCCTTCTAGGCCCAGTGTGTTGGAGACATACAAATGTTTGAGACCTCGTGAAAAAATTACTGGCTCCTAAATATAAGAATAAAGCTTCCAAAACAAATCAAATAAATATTTGTTTAAATGTCTATAAAAGTTAATATTATCATTAACATTGGCTTCAATTGTTAGATTTCGTATTCATAAGCATCTTAACATTTGAAAACAATTTGTAGAATACATTTCTCTTTCTAAAATTCCTAAATGTACATGACTGTCCAGATATCTAGCCCTTTTGTCCACAAGGGAATAAATCTCTCCTATGAATGCTGATCAGCTTCCATTAAAATAAAAAATTTTAAACTGGTATATTTTAATGTAATAAAATACATGCCTTAAAAAAAAAGAAATGGATCTTGATATCATCATCCCCAAAATAGCTCAGAACTTGTCTCCTCTCAACTCTCCAACTCATCCAAATCCAAATCATCATCTCATTCTATAACGTTTATAGTAGCCCTCTGGTTGTTCTTCCTGTTTTTCCTTTTGCATTTCTCCTAGCCCAGGACCTATGCAGCAGCCAAAACAATATTTTTCAAGAATTAAGTAGACTTTTGCTACTGACCATCTGACCATTACAGAATAACTGTACCAAATTTGCCCTCCCACTATAAACAGCTGTAGAACTTGACAAGATATGTGAGGCATTGTTTTTAGGAATGTAACAATAGGCAGCCCAGGAGGGTGATCCTTTAGAGAAGGGAAGTAAAAGGTGAGCCCCACAGTTACCGGACTTTCTGCCTGAGGGCATTTTCCTGTTGTGGTGCTTGGAAGTGACACCCATGCAGAGTGGTGGTGTGGCTGAATTAAGGAAGAAATACCCCAAGTTCTGGGCTGCAGTATCTCGCTGTCCCTTTTGCTCACTATACCCCACCCCTCTGGCCAGAAAACTGTGCTCCCTCTTCACATGCCTGACTCCTTCTAAGTCTTCAGGTCTTAAATTTCACCTCCTAGAGAAGCTATCCCTAGCCACCCAATCTAAAGTAGATGTTTTTCCCTTCCTGATCCCCATCATTCTTTGTCACCACCTTGTATGTTCCTTTATAGCATATACTACAATTTGTGATTATGTATTATTTTGGAATTTATTTATAATCTGTCAACTCCATTGGCAACATGTAATCAACCGCTTGGGACAGGGACCATATCTATTTTATTCTGCCTGCACACCAAGTGCTTAGCAATTAGTAGTGCTCAATAAATACTGGTTAAATAAATGGATTTCCAACTCCAAAACAAATTGACATAAGAACAGTTTAATTCATGCATATTTTATTCTCTCTATATTTTTCCCAGTGACATCATTTTGGGTTTTGTTCAGAGAAGTGAAATATTCAGAAGTAGATAAGTTAAAAGAAATGGAAATTGAAAAACAATAGGTGTGGAACAAATAGGTATATTAAAAAAAGCTACATAACAGAATTAATCTCTTATTCTTGTTTTTATTTAATTTTACTTTTTAATTTCAGCTTCTCATCTAATCCATTTCATATTATCCGTATAACCTTGCTGCTAATCAGTCACCCCCTGGCCTTCTTTCTCAGGGAAGAATATATTGATATTTAGCTGAATAAGCACCAGCCTTCTGGCTCCTTTAAGGAAGAAACAATGATTCATTAGTTGTATCCCCAACACTTGGTACAGTGCATGGCACATGGCGAATACTCAGTAAAGATGGAATAAATTGGGAGTCTATGGTTTGCATGATGGTATAAGAAATCCTAGAATTTCATTTTATGCCAAAGATATATCATACCTTTTTTTCAAACTTTTATATATATTTTTTAATGTTTTAAGTAGCTCCAAGACAACCTTTGAGTTCATCAACTGATGAAGGGATAAATAAAAAGTGGTAGATCCATACAATGCAACATTATTTAGCAATAAAGAATAATGAAATACTGATACATGCTGCAACATAGATGAACCTTAAAAACATTATGTAGCTGAGCACAGTGGCTCACATCTGTAATCCCAGCACTTTGGGAGGCCGAGGCGGGTAGATCACTTGCGCTCAGGAGTTCAAGACCAGCCTGGCCAACATGGCAAGACCCCGTTTCTACTAAAATTACAAAAATTAGCCTCACATGATGGTGCGCACCTGTAATCCCAGCTATTCGGGAGTCTGAGGCAGGAGAATCACTTGAACTTGGGAGATAGAGGTTGTGGTGAGCCAAGATCGCACCACTGCACTCCAGCCTTGGCGACAGAGCAAGACTCATCTCAAAAAAAAAAAAAAAAAAAATGATACTAAATTAAAGAACCGGTCATGAAAGTCTACATATTGTATGATTCCTTTTATGTGAAATGTCCAGAAAAGGTAAATCCATAGAGAAATGCGATTAATTGTTGCCTAGGATGGAAAGGTTGGAAGAAATGGGTACTGATTACCTAATGTTAGGAAGTTTTGTGGGGGATGATGAAAATGTTCTAAAGTCGATTCTGGTAATTGCACAACTCCGTGGATATGCTAAAATCCATTGAATTATGTACTTTAAAGGGGTAAATTGTATGGTATATGAATTCTATATGTCAATAAGGATATATTTTTAAAGATAACCTTTGAATTTACTTTTCATATCTAAAGAGGCCAACTCAGTGCTAGAAGAGACTTGTTTCAAGCTTGTTTGGATTAATAGACTTTAGATATATGAAATATATGTATATTTCAATAGTATAGGCACATAAGTACCAATTTCTTAAGAAAAATATGCTCATCATAAGAAATGATGAATACTTTCTCAGCATTTTTGTGTTTGTTATTCCTAAACAAATACAATATAGTTTTTTCTATATTCTATTTCTATATATAACTCTATTCCTAAAACAAACAAATACAAAAATACAATAACTGTTTCTAAAACAAACAAATACAAAAAGTAGGACCTTTTTGGAGATGAATATCATCTCAAAGGAGACTAATTGAACAGTTGTTATTCAAAATCAGAAATATTATTGAAGTGACACTCTAATTGTGTATGGTGTTGAATAACATGTGTTGTTTCTTTCAGTCAGTGGAACCTAATGAAGTGAAACAGGCAACTTCAACATCAGGACCAGCATCAGCAGTTGTTGAACCACCCAGTACTGAAAAAGAAATAGATCCTAGCAGCATCCCTACTGCTATCAAGTACCAAGATGACAATTCCCTGGCCCATCCAAATGTAAGATCCTTAAACTTTAAGAAAGTCAGTTGAAGTCGAGTTAACTGAAATTAATTCAAACTGTTATCCTTTTGTGCTAAGACCAAGAAGACCATTGGAGGAAACAGGTTCATATTCCCTTGCCAAAAATAGACATCTGGCCCCCAGGCCTTTAGAACTGTTACCCATATTGAAAACAGTAGGGTCCAACTCATGTTGCCTAACTTGTCGAATTATTCTGTCTATGGTTAAGAAAAATAGAAAAAGAGAAGCTTTTTTTTTTTTTTTTTTTTCTGAATTGATCAGCGCCATGAGAAGTGTTTGTTTAAAAATCTAGCACTAAAACTTCTATGTCTAACTTTGCTATCTTCTATGAAATGGTGTAATTCCTCTGTGTTTTGGAAAAGTTGTAGGAAATAAACTTCATGAATATAAGGTACAAAATTGTTAACCAATTATGTTGATAAAAGTAGCTCTTTTACTCCAAGAATCTAGATAGATAGTCATCATTTAAGAGGTCATCAAGAGTTAAACAGTATCCAAATCTTGTGTTGAGAGATACATTGTACAAAGATGATTTCTGTCATATTTGGTCAAATTCAAGTTATTGGGAGACAATAACATTTTTTCTTTTTTTATTTCAGTTATTTATTGAGAAAGCTGATGCTGAGGAAAGATGGTTCAAGAGGCTAATTGCTCTCCGACAAGAAAGACTAATGGGCAGTCCTGTGGCCTAAGTTACATATATGTGTGTGTATATATATATAACTGGATTGGATTTAGCAGTAACATTGGAAATTTAGGTTTTTAAAACCCAATATTAACTTTTTACTCTTAAAAATAATTTTGCTGATTATATATAAAGGTAGTCTCATTTCATTTGTCTCTCATGCAGGCTTGAATATTTGTTGATTTGAATTAAATCAAACATTGTGAAAATTAAAACATAAAATTTAAGATTGCATGAAAATGTCATAAACTAGTCATAAATAGGTCAGTGTTAAAATGAATGGTACATAGTAGTGTTTCTTAGTACAATTCAAAAAATGTCAAGATGTTATTTAAAGACACAATTTTGATTAATTATGCATATATTGAATTACATCCTATAAATATGAGATTTCATCTTCCATCTGGTATTCAACCATTTTTAAATATTTTATTTCACCTTATTGCAAATTTTTAGGCACAATAAAAAGCACCCTAAACAATGTAAGCAGAATGTGTATGTTAACATGTTTATTAAAAAAAAATTTGAAACTCTAATAAACTGATGATTTTGCTTAGAGATCAGCTTCTACTAGATGCTCCTTTGCAACATGTTAGCAATCTCAATTCATTGTCTTAGAAATCACATGTTTATGCTAGACCTAACTAGTTGGCCAGATACCCATGACTGAGAAATCATTTCTGAGAAAACTGATAAGGGCTCTCACTTCAGTCTTACTTAACCCACTGCTATTCCCTGTGGAGAAAGCCAACTAATTGTTTTGATAAGGTTATCTGCCATTGTAGAATACCTTTCTCTAGCAGCTGAATGACAATCAACTATGCATTCCATACTGAACATGCCAGAGATAAGGACTTTTAGGCCTTGCTTTACAAAACTGTTTTTTAACAGCTGACATGAATATTTCCCATTTCTATTTTCTTCTCTTGTCCAGTCATGCTAATTTAGTTTCTGTGAAGACTGTAGCTCAGAAAAAAAGATAAGCACAAAAAGTCTTCAGGGCAGGACTCCCAACATATAGGACATTTTAAAGCCATCTTCTTTATATTTCTGGGACTATTAAAAATCAAATCTCTGTTGAAAATGAAAAATATAAAACTTATAGTCAATTGCAAATCGTATGAAAAATAAGTGATGGTTAAATATTTGTTTTACTACAAACATGCTTTCCCATTCTAAATAGATGCTAGTTTTCTTTTTTCCTTAGCTGTAAATAAAAGTGCCACAAATGAACTGAGGTTTGTGTGGTTTTTAATATAGATGTATACAATTTTAGACTTAAAAAGGGGGTTACAGTTTATGAAATATTTTGTATTTCATACTTCGTATAATTTATAAACTATGGAAGTACTATCACCTTATTAGAAAGTATATTTTAGTGGTCTGGGCAAGGATATGGGTTGCCATTTGGGCCACTAATGATTCTCCAGAGAAGCTGGGCTAGGTACTTTTCTCAATATGCATGATATTCCTTATCTATAAAAGTTTGAAAATCTGGTCTCCTTCAATTATATTTAATATCAATGTTCCTCTGTGGCAAGTACCCCAAATACAGAAGCTTGAACTGTGACAGAATTGTATTTTAAAGCTAAATTTTTCATGGGGTTAGAAAATCAAAATTTTTAAATGAACTAAACTGTGGTCGCTACAGGAACTCAGTGACTACTTCCCTCCTCCCTGATTTTCAACATGATTCATTTTTATACACTATTAACTTCATTTACCTGCATTCCTATCAGAGACCACAGTATTACCACACAAGCCAAATCAAATGTAATGAAAAGGACTGCATAGAACGTGATCAAATATACTGCCTAACTCAAGCTAGCCTTCTTCAATATCCTTATATAGTGAATCTATAAAAGAGAATAATCCCTTTCATGTTACTTGATTAATGATAATAATTTGGACATACATGAGACCTTCAGTGTTTTTTGAAACATTGATTTCTAACAAAATGATGGATACTGATACTACAAGTTGAGTTTTTATTCTGACAACTGAGTGTATCCTCAAGGAGAATGAAATAAGAGCATTTTTCCTGGCACTCTCTAGCTATGAGGAGGCAAAGAGTTAAAGATATGTGCACAGACTACTTTGAGTCATTCACCTCCTTTGCTTCAGCATCCTCACATGTGAAATGAGTATACCAATAACAAACCTGCCTACTTTGATTTTTCAGTAAAACGACATAAAAGAAAGCCCTTCATAGAAACTTCTGCTACTTATACCAAGGGAACGTTTGACATAATAGACATCTTAGTGAAATATGGAACAAGTAGTTACTGCACTCCAACTTGAATGTATTTATATGTGTTCTTGAACTGCCATGGTCAGTAGTTGCCATTGCAGCTATTTCCTTAGCCTTCCCTGATCTTCTTCCCTGCCAAGGTCATAAGAAACCTCACTTGCTCTGCAATTAGTGATCTACCGTCTACTCATAGGTAAGTAGACTGAGAAATCTCAGGTCTTATTCACAGTCAGATTTACCCATTTATTCGTTAATATCATTTTGAGTACCTAGTTCATGCTGGTCACAGTAAGATGTGCTTGAGGAATGCACACCTGAATCCAGTAGGGATCCTGTCCTCAAGAGGCTTGGTTATGAAGCCCAGACATGTAAATGATGTCAGAGATATAGCACTTAGTGACAGAGGAGTTGCAAAGAAGAAAGAAATTATTCTAAGTTAAAAAATTAAGGAAGCCTTCATGGAAGAAATCACAACCAAACTGAGTTTTGAAGGGCAAGAAAGCTGGAGCCCCAGGAACTCCTAGTCACCCACTTATATCTTCCTGATAGCTATTCTAGAAAGCTGGGAACTACTGCAGTTTTAACATAAGACAGAGAGTCCCTCTCATGAAAGACTCAAGTGGACCTGCTCAGTCAATCATCAAAAATCCAGGCAAAATTTCAGGTTCCTAGTAACCCTCTGACTCTTTCTTTTGGTAGAGAATAAGCTGAATAAGATAAGTCTTCGTTTGGCCACAAGTGTCAACAATCTTGAAAACTACCACTTGTCAGCCAAGATGACAGATTCTGCAATGGAGCTGAAAAGAGACTTTCAATGCTGATAAAAAAAGAACTGCATCTGCCGGTAAGGGCTTGCACAACCATGTGGACCACTGTGTGTTCCGTTACTCTCTTGTTATTCTATCTGTATTGTTATAGAAAGCATGGTTTTGGAACTAAAAGACATAATTCATTTGCTTGTGGTTAGGTTCCTCCTGAGATTTTCCTTTGATTTGAGCATCAAGTGAAAATCTTTAATTGAGCAAATAAGATAGTAACAAAAACTAGAAATGAAATAAGACATAGGACATTTTTAGCCACTAAACTCTAGATGAGTTTACCTCAAATGCTTGTACCTATGTTACTCTTTCCTCCTTTCCCTACCCCAAAATTCCTTGTATTACAAGAGATTTTAAATCAACTCTTGGCCATTACTCAACTGATACAATGCTTGGATTATTTAGAAACTTTTTTAATGCCATCCTGTAAGCCTTACTGTTTGGAACACCTTTATAGAATAATGGAAAAATTTTGATAAGAAAACATTTGAGTTGGTAGAGCACAGCAGGAAAACAAATGGATATAAGAAAGAACACTTTCTAAATTCTGTAATTATCTTAACATTTTGTCATAGGGATGGACATTGATTAATATATTCAACTCTATTTGGTGAGTTTTTTCTAAATTAAAGCAAGTACTGTCATGATATATTTCCAAGTTACTTTTGCTACCATTGTTTCCCCAGAATCTGGCCTAATGTCTAACATAGAGAAGGTCTCAATAAATGTGTTTTAATGAAGAATTAATTAGCCCATCTTAAATAAGAACTCTATTTAGCAGTCTGGTTATTTAAATTGCTCAAGCTATTTGGAGCCAGTGCAAAAATTAATAAATAAATACATACATGTTATAACCAAATTATTTTGGTTTCTCTGATTTATATCTCCAAATGGCTCTGAGCTGACAGAGGCTTTCAAATGTCATAGGGAAGTACACTGTATGTGGTGCCTTCTTTATTCCATTAGGAACTAAACAGTGGGGCTAGAATTGAAGCAGAGATTTTATTAGTCTTGCTCTTGCACAGAAATTTTCTAGTCTGATTTTTTTTGTATAAATATTTCAAAATGTGTTGATGTAATCATTCTGCATCCACCAACTAGCACCTATTATTGCTCTCCTTCCAAAGCTATTGGTCAGTTTTCAAGAAATAAAGGCTACCAATGGATTAAGACAACACTTTAAACTCAACAATGTAACCGTTTTATTTTTAGGTCTTGAGAAGGAATGGCAAAATGATCCCAGTGTGGTTCTCAAAGAGTGATGAACTGAACTGACACTCTCTCCTTAGCATCTTGTATTTTTGTTCAGGCTTGTCATCTCACAGTGCAAAAAAACAGTAAAAGTTCAGGCTCTCTTTTATAATCTTTTAAAATATGAACTAGGCTTCAGGCGTGGTGGCTCATACCTGTAATCCCAGCACTTTGGGAGGCCAAAGCAAGCAGATCACCTGAGGTCAGGAGTTCAAGACCAGCCTGACCCATATGGTGAAACCCCGTCTCTGCTAAAAATACAAAAATTAGCCAGGCGTGGTGGCAGGAGCCTGTAATCCCAGCTACTCAGGAAGCTGAGACAGAAGAATTGCTCAAACCTGGGCAGCAGAGGTTGCAGTGAGCTGAGATCGTGCCATTGCACTCCAGTCTAAGATATGAGGTGAAACTCCATCTCAAAATACTGAACTAAAAAGTCAATTTGTAATTAGGATAAATTGCATGTTTGCTAGTACCCTCCATCATCCCTTCACAATCGTTCTGGATTCCTCTTTTCCCTGCAGTGTCCCAACAGGCTGACTTTCACAGACTGCATCATCCAGTTTCCCTTGCCCTCTGGCTTCTGGTTGCATTTGACCAATAGTTGGGACTGTCAGGAAATTAAAAGGAAAAAGGAGAGAGAATTGGGTGTCTAACCCTGGGAGCCATGTTTCAGTATGGCTGCCATTTTTTATTTATTTATTTATTTTTGAGATAGAATCTTGTTCTGTACCCTAGGCTGGAAGTCCAGTGGCACAATTTCAGCTCAGTGCAACCTCTGTCTCCTAGGTTTAAGTGATTCTCCCGCCTCAGCCTTGCAGAGTAGCTGACACTGCAGGCACATACCATCACTCCCAGCTAATATTTGTATTTTTAATAGAGACAGGGTTTCACCATATTGGCCAGGCTGGTCTCAATCTTCTGACCTCAAGTGATCCACCTGCCCCGGCCTCACATAGTGCTGGGATGAGCCACCATGCTGGGCTGGTGTATCTGCTTTTCTAACTCTTGTAGGCTGGCCTCTCTCTCAAGGATACAGTTCTCACCATGTTAAATCAACAGCTCCTTCCTTATATCTCTTCAGACCCAGGTGCTGAAATAGTTTCCTGTACTACTCCCAAATTGGTTCCTTTAACCCTGCCCATGTCCCTGTATATAATGACTTCATTAAAGTTTTGAGTGTGTCATATTTTCCTACTGGGACCAAATCTGATAAAATTATATTCAAACGCATTGTATCATTTTAGGATTAATTAAGTATATCAACTAGTTTTGATAGCACAACAGAAACAATGAACACTGACTTACCTAAGAAAAAGATTTATTTTTCCTTCAGCTGAAAGCCACTTAAAGATAGGTATGGTGGTTTCATATGTTAGGGACCTGGGCTCTTGTTTCACAGGTCTCAGTAAGTGGCTTCTCCCATATGGTTCTAAGTACCTGCTGAAGCTCAAGCCATGAAGAATGTACTGCCCCCCTTGAAGGAGATTCCAAAATTAAACTTAAAAGAGACTTGTAAATTTATACCTCATCGGCTAGACTGAGTCAATTGACTACTGTCCTGTTGCAAGAGAAGATTTGGAAAGGTAGTATTTCAGTTCATCCACAGCAGAAAATACCCTGATAATTATGAAACTTTAGAAAATATTTAAATCCTGGAAAAGAATCTGGCTACATAGCACATCTACCAATTCAAATTTCCATTAACTCATAGAATACTGCTAGATGGTATAATTCCTTTCCCAGCTCTCCTAAGGCTAGTAGACAAACACTCTTTTCACAAAGTTATACTAAATAGTAGCAAGAATAGCTTTATATAGAAACATTTCAAATAGGAAGTGAATGAGGGACATATAGTGCCTGAGAATTCCTAATTACCATCACTCCTTAGCTTTCTATTCCAAGACAATGCTAGTCAGT